TAGATTGTTTTTTGATGTTCCATTTTGCTTGTACTTTTGTGCCCCTTTCCAGGTTTAGGTGGATCACTCAACAGGATTCATTTTTTTTCCAAGCCATCATGGGTAGTTCATCGCCGCAGAACTTACACGCTTACCCCGGAGTTGTGATTTCAATTCTCAACGAAATAGATTCGCGTTAAATTAAGGGAAATGGACCGCTACTGTTTGGTTAAAGGCAGTCATATCACAAAATATCAGAGTAAAAATAAAAAGAAGGGCGCAAACGTCCCATTTCAAGGTATCAGATTGAGTGATACCTTATTTGTGGGGATACTACGGTTTCCATGACGCCAAAGTTCGACACCTGATTATGATCGTGTCTGATGTGAAGAAACATCATCTAAAAGAAAAAGTTGATACCCCAATTAATTTCGGAGATACTAATTATTTTCATTGATTTTAGATATTTCAATTTTTCTTTAAATATCTCGAACACCGTGCGAGGTATAACCAACAAGATACAACCTTTGAATTTGTTTATATCGTACACAACCGTAATCTAGTATCAAACCTTGGCACCAGGGAAACTGCAGTCTTGCATTGTTTATAAGCAAGTAACTTCCCCAGTTAATATATAGATCAGTGGATAAAATACAATCGGCATGATCCTAATCGATGATTGTTTCGCTCAGTGGATCGCAATTAGGAACTGTACCTGTTATGCTCCTTAAGGGAGTACACGTCATCAAAGGTGCTGCCACACGCGTTGCACTGTTGAAATTGCATGAAGTCATGCATGGTCGTGTGGGTCATCAGGGCGGATTTCTCGAAGAAGACCTCGCTGCAGATCTCGCAGGTGAACTTGACGTCCTTGTGATGGCGATTCTTGTGACGCTCCACGTCCGTAGCCGACACTCCCATGAAATCGCAGACCCCACAGGGGACGGTCTTCGGGGTGTGGGATTTCTTAACGTGGGCATTTAGCATGAATTGCTGGGGATAGGTCTTGTCGCAAGTGTTGCACTTGAAGGGTCTGTGAATCCCATGGACGATTCTTAGATGGGCGACCAAACGCGTAACAAAGTGGAACCTCTCGTTGCAGATCTCGCACGCCTTCTCGTTGCTCTCGAACCTAGAAGAGTGGCAATGTGTCTTGAAGCGATCGTACAAACGGACGAGTCAGGTTATTCCTGACGACCTATCGTCACCGTTCCCTGATTTCTGTCGTGTCAAAAAAGGGTCCAGGATATCTTCTCTTGGCTCGGTAGACGAAGCGCGAATTACTCACGTTTGCGAAGTGTCTCCTACGGGTACCTCGATCTTGATCTTGAACTCTTCGTCCACGTCCAGCTCGTCCTCCAGCCACTGGCTGCAACACAGGATTGCCGATAGGTAATTCGATTGCATAGGAACAGGTGATAGATTTAAATGGTATGCGCTTGCCCAACTTGCTTGACTCTTAGGAACTTACGGTCGTTTTATCACGATCCAACGCCGTGATATTGCAGATCACAATCGGGATCGTCGACGCCGTTTCGATTTCAGTGCCGTGACGGAAACACGGAGCGATCGAGAAGAGAAAGAGCGGTCCAGCTTGAGGATTTTGAAGGGATGCGCTGGGGATGCATATTTTCATGTTTGCTCCTTTTAAGGCGAAGTGAAACCCGTCTTAACGCGAGGTTAAAGGCTGTTCTTACCGACCGAATTTCCTCAAATTTTTCGAAGTTTTTCTTTCTATAGTAAAAATTAATAAATACGATTATGAATTTAGCAGAATGTCCGATATTCAATGATCTGTCCGATGTGTATTTGCGATCTGTGAAATTCTGGAGAAAAAATTGTTCGGACGACGAGCGTCGTTTTGTTCCCTCCGTTTTGTTCTTTTAGATTAGGCGACGTCTTCGGCGAACATTTATATGATTTCTGTCACGGTTTATCATTTATATTAATGTTATTACGGTTATCACAGTTGTCGAGATAAGGTCGATTTAAGGGACCGTGAAATCTGCTTCTTCATCAGCTGGAAGGGTCGAAACTCTGAAAAGATCCCAGCTGGTCTCCATTCCCGTTCGGTAGGCTAAATACCCGAATAATTCGAGATCTTTGGTGACAATTAGATCCCACGCGGTACGATAAATCGTGACATCACGCCAAAGATAGGTTCAACGAGATCGTATCATCCACACGAGCATCTTTCTGGATGATATCATTTCTGGGATGAAAAGCCTCCAAGCATTCCTCCAGGCGCCATCTTTCTTTTCAATTCCCATATTGCAGTTAACTTAGGTAATACATTTCTAGTTGGAAGTAGAAAAGGATTGCAAATAATTAGATGCACCCAGTTTGGAGAACAGTTTCATAAATATTTGGCGCCATCTTTCTTTTCAATTCCCATATTGCAGTTAACTTAGGTAATACATTTCTAGTTGGAAGTAGAAAAGGATTGCAAATAATTCTATGCACCCAGTTTGGAGAACAGTTTCATAAATATTTGACGTTTTGGTGTATACTGTAGGAATAATATCGATCGCGATTTGCAATTCATTAAAGAATGGGCATACCTTTACAACAACAAAGTCCTTTCGCAAGATTCACCCTGTATAGGTATACACGTGCTTCAAGGGATGTTTGCATAAAATAAATTCTAACGATCATTTCACTTTAATGTTATTTTTAATAATAATTCAACACTCATGGTAGAGCTTATCGATCTGCATAATTCACATAGATATCAAGTTATCCGTATTTCTTAATTACGACACATCTTTCGTATACGGGGATACAGGTGACGGGGTAAAACTGCTTCATCGATAACTGCATACAATTGTTTAATGTTAAATACGAAGTCCTTTATAGGGTGACGTTATGTTAAAACTTTAGAGTTTCGAAGGATCGATTGAACAGGAAGACATTTACAACTTCTCTTACAATGTTAGTAAAAGGCAACCGAGGTGAAAGGCATGGGTAAAATCTTATCGAGTAGCTGTTAACAATTGCTGTATTTACAATAAATATATTCCTGTCCACTAACATAGCCATTCCATGCGTCCGATGACCGAGGAACATTTGCGGGAGCAAATGTTGTATCGCGATTGGATTTGAGAACATCCGATAGTATTTGTACAGATATGAACGACGGTGTTCTCTTTGTAGATTACGCTTGGCGTCGACTTTATCATCTCCAGATACCAGATGAGTGTTGGCCTTGGGGTTGCTTTTTTGGTAGAATCTTTTGTTCGGTCGTTACTTTCGGCGAGATTTTCGGCAATATCCTTCGTCTGAACGGACTCGATAATGGTCTTATGGGGACTTTAGGAATATTTTGCATGGGGTTTTGGATTTGGCCGTTGATGAAGATGCAGTCTTTAGGTAGGAGTAAGGTACATTTCGGAGGCAATGACGGAGGCTTAGGGAGGATAAGGGGAGGTCGCTTCGGCAAGATCGTCTTCATTTTAACCGCCTTCATATTAGTTCGCAGGGTTTGCCTTCTTCTCACGGTTTGAACTTGTCCTGTCAATGCGAGTGGGTCCATCGTTACGATCCTGAAGAAAAAACGATCTAGTTAGTGCAATCCATTAAACCTGGTCTCGTATCAAGAGGACTCGCGAAGAAGAATGCACGCCCCCTCGGATCTGCTTTTACAATTTATTCTCTGACAGAATACACGTTATCTAAGATACAGTGATAAGAATCAATTCCCAGTTATCGGAAAGCTTTAGCGCTTCGATAAGGTTCCGTACATATCTCCTAGAGCCACAGAAAAGAATTTTCCCCCGATGCTTTCGCCAGTTGTCGACCTAGACCTAAGGTTTCCAAGATATAAAATATAAATGTCGAATCAGATTGTAAAAGAAACAAGTGTTAAGGTGACGTTTAAGCGCCGCCAAGGAGTCCTCGTTGATGAAACTTTCCTCCGAATCGGGAGTATCGAATCGTTTGAAGCTTTTCCACACAAACCTGGATTACTCTAAGGAAAGTCCGGACCCCCTTAAGATTTCATTCCTTTGTATAAAAAAAAAAAATGCAAAAGATTGTTCGAAAGCAAATATCTTGAATGGCATTCCACGAGTGCCAGGACCTTCCTCGAGACTCCTACGTTAACGTGGGAAAATTTTCGGACGATCCGACCCGCCTAAAAAAGCTCCATAATGATTGGCTTCTCAGCCGCCACTTCCACCGTCACCTTACCCCATAAACGGAAATTAGGTAATTTCGAGCCGACGACATCATATCATAAATATATTTAATAAGAAAGAAAATAAACGTATCTTTTGGGGGAAACATATATCGACACCTTTTCTTGCCTCTCCGACTATGATTGATCGCAACTGCTTACACGTGGGTACGCGACAAGTGTCGGATTGCATATGCAATGTGGAGATTTACGATATGACGGTGTCGGGCGAAGATGACCCACCCTAATTTCCGTTTAAGGGCTGCGAAAATTCGGCGGCCTATTCCTGCTTTGGCCTTCTCCTCCCCTGATGTTTCTCCTGCGTATCGAGATCCTTAATAATGTTCTCTATGAAGACGCTGGGCAACGGAGGGTGCGATCCCGGGTGAGACTTCCGATGGCTGGAGAGTCCCGGTTTCTGGGTGAAGGACTTCCCGCAAATGTCGCATACGTAAGGTCTCAGACCGGTGTGAATGAGCAAGTGCTGTCGCAGGGTGTTCCTTTTGGCGAAGGTTTGCTTGCAGACGGTACAATTGTAAGGCTTGTCCCCTGTGTGAGAGCGCATGTGCACGTCGAGGTCGTAACGGATGTGGAAGGTCTTTCCGCACTGTTCGCAGACGATCCTTTCCTTGGTCTCGTGCCAGACCATGTGACGTTCGAGACCTCTCTTCGATACCAGACGCCTTTTGCATATCTTACACGTGTACACGGCGTTCTCGTGGACGAACCTCATGTGCGACTTCAGGGAGTGGAGGTTTTTACTGACGTGTCCGCAGAGGTCGCAAAGTATCGGCGGGCCTTCGTTGTGCATTAGGTGGACGTGCTGTCGGAGGTTGTTCTTAACTTTGAACTTCTTCCCGCAGAATTTACAGCAGAAGCGAAAGTCGTCCGCGTGTTTTCGCACTAGGTGGTCCTTCAGGGTCCACTTTTTGTCGCTTTTGTACTCGCATATGTTGCACTCGTAGGTCGCCGAGCCGTGGACGTCCTCCAGGTGGTGCTTCAAGCTGCTCTTAAGGTTGAACGTCGAGTTGCAGAGCTTGCACATGTAAGAGTGCCGCTTAAGGTGGAGTAGGAAGGATTTCTCCCGGCAGTACTTTTTACCGCAGTTGTCGCACTGATACCTCTTGTTATCTTCGTCCTCGCTGGCCAGGAATCTTCGGAACTTGGTGGATCTCTTCTTGGCGTCAGGAGATTGCAGGAGGTCGACGTCTTTGATGTCCAGCGGGTCGTCCAGGCCCAATCTAAAACATAAATAATCCCAGTATTACGATCAGGTGATTTGCGTTATCGAGCACTTCTTTATTTACATACTTACTGGACCAAAGAGACTATTTATTCCGGGTATATTCTTATCTATAGTATCTACATAAAAATTAAGAATGCGAGAGTTCTCTTTTCCGAGGCTTACGGATAGGGTCAATTTGATGAAATTATCATACATCTCGTCGCTCGTTTAAAGGATAGTCGTGTTAAGTCTATCGCTCTTATGTTATCTTTTTTGCTGATTACGGCATTTCTACTAGTTAGAATATGAAAGTGTCGTGTTACAACGTGAGACAAAAAAGGCACATTGAGGAAGTATCAACGCTGTTTATTATTATTTTTTTTGAGAAAAAGAAAAATAGTACAGTTTATTCTTTCATGTTCGTCTTCCATGTCTAAGAAATTCCGTCGGGAGGTTTTCTTTCTCTTTTTTTTTCGGTACGAGGAACCGGGTAACGTAGAAATCGAAGAAGGATCCATCGAGGCATTCGTGGGAAGATTTCGAAGAGTCTGCAGAAACTTTTTCTTCCCCTTCTTTTTTTTTTTTTAATTAAATACCTATCTTCAGTCCGAGATGTCCTTACGATTTGCCATCTCCTGCGTAAATTCGTTGACAATGTTCTTAATAGAAATGACTGGCAAAGGAGGTAACGGGCCAGGGTGCTTTTTCCTGTGACAAATCAGACCAGGTTTCTGGGCAAACGTGTGACTACAGATATCACACGTGTAGGGCTTTTTCCCCGTGTGGATGAGAAGGTGCTGCTCCAGTCCAGTCTTCCTGGTGAATGTCTTGCTACATACGGGACAGGAGTAGGGCCTGATGCCCAGGTGAATCCTGAGATGCATATCGAGGTCTCTCTTCTCTCCGAAAGTCTTCCCACAAGTCGGACAGACCACCTTCTCCTTCCTTTCATGCCAAATCAAATGTTGCTCCAGATTCTCCTTAGTCGTCAGACCTCTTTTGCACAGCATGCACTTGTAAGCTGGCTGGAAATGCCGGTACTTAATGTGCGCTTTAATGGCCGGGACATTTTTACAGGAGTGCCCGCAAATCGTGCATACTATTGGCGGATTGTCCCCATGCATTTGGTTCATGTGCTGCTTAAGGGAGTTCTTTATCTTAAATTGCTTGCTGCAGAGGGTGCAGGGGAACTCGAAGTTGCTCGTGTGTTTCCTTACGAAATGGTCGTTCAGGGTGCACTTGTTGTTGCTCTTGTACTCGCACACACTGCAGGAGTACAGGGAAGGGCCGTGTATCTTCTCTATGTGCCTCTTCAGGACCTTCTTCAGCTTGAAAGTCTCCTTACATGCAGCCTCGGGACACTCGTACTTGTGGCTGTTCATGTGGTACACTAACATCGTCTTCCTGGGGAACTTGCGCTGGCAAATGTTGCATTCGAAGGATTGTATTAATTTCCTTTTTTTGTCCCCTTTACCCCGAGGTCCGTTTAATGCTTCTCTTCCTTCTCTCCTTTGCAGAGATTTAAGACGAGTTATGCGCAGAGGATGTTCCTCCTCCTCGGCGATGTCTGCAGACTTCTTGCTCTTGGCTTCCTCGATAATGTACCCCATTCTCAGAATGTGCAGCTTCTCGGGATGATGGTTCTTCTTTACAGTCTCAGGACCCATGGGACATCTAAAACAAAGAGTTTGGTTATTTCGGAGCTGGCAGAGACCTCTGAAGGTTTACTCGATTGCGTGTACTTACTCGTGAAATCGTGATTGTCTTTTTTTTTTTTTCCCCTATCAATTGAAAGGTCTATTTTAGTTACCTGAGATGTATCTACGAACGGTCCTTTCGATACTAGGAAAATAAAAGGTAAAGTAAATTAAAACAGCATTTTACATTATAGGATGGAATGATTTTTCAATATTTTTTAGGTAAACATAACATTGTCTCGGAGTGTAATACAGCTTGCCAGGGTATAGGGGGAATCAATGATAACATTTAGGATTTTTCTTTAATTAAATAATATTTAATGGATACATGATATGTAATTCAATGAGAATGCGGAGCTTATAGATTTGGAAAAGAATTGCATTTGATTAAATTTCTTGGATACATCGTTTTGTTTTACCTTTCCTTTTTGTAATGGAAACTGAAGTAGTCGTTTTCAAATTTTCTGGGATTAACGCTTGATAACACGGAGACAAAAAGCGAGGATTGATGAAAATTGATTTTAGGTGTTTCTTTACCTTCCCGTAAGATTGTCTAATCCTACCCTGAGATTTAGACATTTTAAATAAAATGTCGTGAAAATATTGCATATCCTCTTTTCCCAAATAATTTGATTGCGTCTCATTATCCTACGTTTTTTTTTTTAACGCAATAATAGAAAGTATAAAAACTACTGGAATATCATTTTACACGAGTCGGTTCCTCGAGACATTCGCAAAGTGCTTCATCAGGGTTTTCTTTACACTTATTAAAAAACAGCCTCTTAACTATCCGTCCACTTACTCCTTTAAACTTTACCGCGGAAAGTACGCGAAAGAAATCTGCTAAAAACGTCCATGGTGTCTGAAAAATCTATTATCATGTATCAAAGGCATGATGAACTGTGTTCTTCTGAAAACAGGTATGAAATGGAGAAACTCCAGATTTCGGGGAATAAAAGCACGAGGATTACATTCCGACCAGCAGAAGCGTCCTCGTTGCGTTTTCTAACATATTTGCAGACTTCTGGGGGTGGGGATAAACTGATATAAGTAAGTACTCGATACTTTCATTTCGATGTCAAGTACTTTTGCCACCGATTACCTCGTACTACACTCGATGCTTCCTCGAATTTTGTGAAAAATACTCGTATCGAGTCGAATGGAATGATTATGATAACTAATTGAACATTAAGCCGATTAACGACAAGAATGTATTTCTCTTCTTAGAGGGAATAATCTTTATTTGGCGTTGCGTTGGATGAATCATTTCCTTATGGTATTCTTAGCCGACGCGGTGTCTCTTAGTCCTCGGCAAGGGACAGAGGATGGATAATTATTCCATCTTGATCGAAGGATTCTTCCTGGAATACTCCTTGGTGAACTCGGTGACGATGTTCTTTATGGACACCACCGGCAGCGGGGGCAAGGGGCCTGGGTGTCTTTTCCTGTGGCAGATGAGTCCAGGCTTTTGGGCGAATGCTTGCCCGCAAATGTCACATACATACGGTCTCTTTCCCGTGTGAATCAGTACATGTTGCTCCTGTGCGGTCTGCCTCCTAAAGGACTTGCCACACACGGGACACGGGAATGGTTTCACCCCCGTGTGGACTCTCATGTGGGAGTCCAAGTCTCGGCCTCGAAATCTCTTCCCACACGTGGGGCAGAGAACTTTCTCTCTGGTTTCGTGCCAAGTGAGATGCTGCTCCAGATTCTCCTTGGTCGTCATTCCCCTTCGACAGATCCTGCAAACAAACTCTGGCTTGTGGTGGCGGTACTTCATGTGTGCCTTCAAAGCGTGGAGATTCTTGCTGAAGTGGCCACACACGTCGCAAACTATCGGGGGGTTCCCGCTGTGGTTCTGCTTGACGTGGTGATTCAGGGCCTTCTTTATCTTGAATTGCTTGCCGCAGGTGTCGCAGGAGAAGTCGAAGTTGGAGGTGTGCAGACGGATGAAGTGATTCTTCAGGGTGCCTTTGTTGTTGCTCTTGTATTCGCAGACGCTGCACTCGAAGATCTGCGGTCGGTGGGTTTTCTCGATGTGGGCGCTCAGATAGCGCTTTAAGCTGAAACTTTTCCCGCACTCCCGACATTGGTGTCTGTGTTGCTTCAGGTGCTCCGCCAAGTTACTCTTCTTCAGGAACTTTCTTCTACAGTGGTCGCACTCCACGCAACTTCGCGACCTAGGGGATGGGTCCTCAGGGTCGGCGACGACTCTTGCGTTCGATCTCGTCGATGGGATCGCTTCTTCGTCTTCTTCGGTCTCGTCCACGGTTTTCTTTCCTTCTTCCCGCTCTTCCTCTTCTCCCTCGTTTCTTCTTCTCCCTCTCTGGCGTTGTCTTCTCTCATCCGCTGGAGTCTTCTTCTTCGGCCAAATCATGTACTCGGGAGTGCACTCTATCTTCACCGTTGTATTACTTGGCGTGGACATGCTCAGAGGATCAGAGGCCGACCTACAACAGAAATTCGACGGAAAATGTTATTCGATGTCTCGGTTGTACACGCGGGACGGAATACTGGAAAATGTTGCAGTAATAATGATAACACCCGGCAGCAATATTTTGCGATATCACGGGCTGCGTGAGAATTCGCATCGAATTGTAGGGGAAAATTTGGAGTTTTGCTTGATTTTCCGGTATTATCGCTGACCGACATTTCGAAGCGACGTTCTCTGGAATACAGAAAGTCTGGTCATATTTTAGGAGATTTACAATAGCCAACGAGGGGCTTTTATTTTCATACTTCCTCTACATACTGTATTTATCCTGCTGAGATCTGGAAAATCTTTGGTGGCTTATCGGTTCCTGGGTTTTACAATGATATCGACTTTGAAGCTTGGGATTTCTCAACAGTCGAACTTAGGGGATGATTTCATCTGAAATAGAAGAGAAGAAGTCATGTTAGTACAATTTGTTCATATCGGCACAGAAGACTTACCTAGTGTACCGAAGTGGCAGGCTATCTCCTCAGCTATTTATCGTCGGCGTTATCATTGGATTTAAAACGATTATTTTCGGAAAATTTATTGATTAAAAAGGGCGGTCAGCAAACAAACTGATTATTCAGTGCTCATCTCAAAGCATATTTTAATACATCATTTCATTGTACAGATATGAAATTCGTTAGAGTGTTATCAGATGGTAACCACTAATATTTTAATGTCTAGAAATATGACTTGGAAGAGTACGGTTCTTGTCCTGATCGTGATAATCACATTCTTGTGTTATCAATAGTTTTATTGAACAGTATTATTGACCATCTTGAGCTATGTTACCATCGCATAATACTTTTTTTCCATCAATTTTGCCCCACCATCGGCATAAACATGTTATAGGCATATCTGGGATTAACAATAAAATTACATGGCGACAGTTTTAATTACATTTTAAGTACAGTCTTCAGATTTATTTGTTTGAGTTTCTTGGACGTTACTCAAGACACTGAAGGAGTTTAAGAATTTAAAACTTCCGCGATATCACTACAATATCTTCTTTTAGTATTGTTTCAAACAAAGAGTTTAAATGTTTAAGACTATTGTTCTTTACAATGGTGTTGTTCTGGGTTGTAAACGCACTTTATGTTAGAATGCCGTCAAATACTAACATTTGCATGATTTGAATTCCAAGGTAGTGACGTCACTGTCTCTCAGTTTTTTTTGGGTAAATTCTTTTTTTAAGCCGACATGTTGATGATGCGACATGCAATTTCAACCCGCAGGCCAACACTGGCCCAACAATTTTTCTTTTCGACTTCTTAAATTACATTTTTACAAATCAGTGTCAGTTTTACTGTGTTTAATATCCCGTTGAAGAAGTCACAATTTGTTAAACAAAGTCAGATTTCATCCAACAATGAACTAGCTTCCTTCTAATATTTTCTTTGGGTTCGTCAAACATAGGTATGCCAATCACCGATTACATAAATTTCGTGATAATTCAATATCCATTTTGTGAATATTTATTTTCCTCCCTTCCTGATAAAGAATATCACTCTCAGTGATGTCGACAATGTTGAGCCATGATTTTGAACGTTGGAAGGAAATTGTTATTGTCATCAAAGAATGTCGCATCAGAACACGCATCACATCCAATTAGTCCAAACCGCAGAATATCCAACAGCATATTAAAAACAATATCTCTCTTCAAGAATCAAAGTGGAAGCTCCAACAGAACTTTCCTTTTAACCTCACATTTCTAAGAGGTCTCACGACGTTTCACGGCTGAGGAGTATGATTTTTCTTAGCGAATTCTCTGACGAAGTCGTTGACGATATTCTTCACCGAGACGACCGGCAGAGGAGGAAGAGGTCCCGGGTGTCTCTTTCTATGACAGATCAACCCCGGCTTCTGGGCAAAAGTTTGTCCACACACGTCGCAAGCATAAGGCCTCTTTCCCATGTGAATAAGAATGTGTTGTTCCTGAGCAGTTTGTCTGGAGAAGGCTTTCCCGCAAACGGGACAGACAAAGGGCTTCACCCCTGTGTGGATCATCATGTGTATGTCCAGGGCGTACTTCTCGCAGAAAGTTTTTCCACACGTGGGGCAAATGTTCCTCTCCTTGGTCTCGTGTCTCAGCATGTGTTTGTCAAGGTACTCCTGAGTGGTCATTCTGCGTTTGCAGAGCTTGCACTCGAACTGGGGCTTGAAGTGGGCATACTTCTTATGGCACTTCAAGGCGTGGATGCTCTTGTTGGTGTGGCCGCATATGTCGCAGACAACGCAGGCCTCGCTGTGGCTACGCGTCATGTGGGTCTGCAAGTCGTTTTTGATCTTGAACTCTTTCGAGCACACCTTGCAGGTGAAGTTGAAGCCATCCGTGTGCTTCCTCACTACGTGATCCTGAAGAGCCCACTTGTTTCTGCTCACGTAGTCGCAAACGGTGCAGGGGTATCTCTCGGGCCCATGGACAGACGCGACGTGGGTTTTAAGTTGACTCCTCAGTTGAAACTTTTGGTCGCAGGAGTCGCAGATGTACTTATGAAGCTTCATGTGCTTCGTTAGGTCCTTTTTTGACGAAAAATTGGCCTGGCAAACGTCGCAGGTGTACATTCTGGGAGCATTTACGGCTTTAACGTCCGACCTTTTCCTCACTTCTAGGGCCCGCTTTGTGGTGGCGGTGGTGCGATTGCTTCTCTTTCTGACTTTTCTTCGGGAGCCCCTGGGGTCTGAAGCTGTCTTCTTCGTGTTCTCCAGTAGGCACTCGGATGCACACTCGATCTTCACGTCGAGGAGCGGATCTGCAGCCCTACAACAGGGAAATAGCGTTTCGTCGTGATTAGACCAACGATAAGGTCTCTCTAAGGTCCACAGACAATGTTGCAGTTAGTGGGAGAATTATTGCGATTCGAGGGATAATTGGGACCCTTAGAATTCTCTGTACTTACTTTACTTAAAATTTAGATCTCAACGCGCACTCCGAGAAACAAAACCCATATTGTTAAATAGATCCAGCATTGGAAACACCCATCGGATCCCGAAGAAAACGATTCTCCCCCACTTATCTCTGCCAATCGTCAAAGCTTTTGGGGTATACCAAAAAAATAGAAGCTCAAAGCCTGTCACATATGCAAATAAGTTTATTTCTTCGGATCGATTACACCGAATGATCAGGGCGAAGGTGTTTCTATACGTCTTCTCACACACATCGCATACTGCGTGCATCTCTTCGGTGTGTATTGTGTGGACGTGCATGTACAAATCGTTTTTCATCTTGAACTTCTTCCCGCAAGTGGTGCAGGTGAACTTGAAGCCTTGGGTGTGTTTCCTGACGATGTGCTCCTTCAGGCTTTGCTTGCATTCGCAGATCATGTCGCACTCTTTGCAAGGGTACATGTTCGTCGTTCCATGATTTAAGTGGTCTCGAAGGTCTTTTATGTGTTTGCTGATGAAGCCACATCTTGCGCAGCTGTTTGTGTGAGACTTCGCGTGCTCTTTAAATTTCAAAGCGTCGGAAAATGTCTCTGCAGAACTCGCAACTCCATTGGATATCACACTTAGAGGTTGAAGACTTTTTCCGCAGTGGTAAAATGTTCTTTAGTCGGGTTTTGCCTCGAGAGCAGCGCTTAGACATGATCTTCAGGGTGTTTTTGCAAGATCTCCTGAAAAACAGAAAAAGATCGCAGAGTCATTAGTGTCCTGATAACTTGAAATTATGTAAAAGGTATACTTATCTCAAAAGTGAAGTGATCTGGATCTTCGGTGACCTTTAATCCCTCGGTAAGCGTGAGTCTCCTTACCTTGGATAATTGAGACTATTACTAGAAATCTCTCTTAATCTGCACCTTTGAACCGTGTTTCATAAATGCATAGGCAGTCTTGAGTTTCTATGATGCAGCTTATAAAAAGCTACATTATATAATACAGTTTAAATGTTCAACGAGTGTCGACGAAATGGTGAATTAGGCAGTACAGGGACGGCCCCATGGATCATGAAAAATATTTATTTCAAACTCAAGTCTATACACAGAATGTACGTATTTTCATAATAAGAAGCCAATAATGGGATTAGAAAAATAGCCATTAAAGTTACATTTTACGAGCGAGCGTTTGAATAAGGTTTCTTTTCTGCTTTTTTTTTTTTCTCTTCTTTCTTTCAAACTTTTGTTAACCAACCTAATGATTATATCCACCGGTACTCTTTAAATCCGTTTTTCAATCATGATTTTGTCGAAAATTTTGTAGAGATTTAGAATTTCAGATTAGAGAGGAGAAAAATTATTTTTCGCAGGTGTTCATATCAAGAGTGAATGAAACAATGATGGAAATTAATGGGAATTCGGGAGTTTCGGAGCGAATTCAGGATTTCTATCCATTTGGTTTGGGGAAGGTAACGTAAGACCTCGAACTTGTCTTGCGACACTGAGAATGTCTTTCGAGGATGCTGACTTTGAGTTAACGAAACTCGACGAACTACTCTTAAACTTAGATTAATTCACAAGCCTCCCGGCAATGTACATACAATGCTATTTTAAAGTTCCCTTGCGTTACTGAAATTAACGGAGCGCTCTTGCACAATGCTTCGTTTCTTCAGGCATGTCGAAGTTCATTAATCGCTGTAGAAAACGCTAGTTACAATTTCAAATTACAAACCTAGAGATGAAGAGATTACCGATTACCTCGATTGTTAAAATAATAGCAGTCGTGGGACACAAAAGTGGTCTATCGCCACGGATCGTTTTAAGGGAAAAGAAGGTAAAACAAATCGTAACCCGTTACACCACCGAATGACTTTGAGCCGTATCTGGGAAAGTCTATGTCGTACATTATGTAATTACTGCCCCATAAAGTGACGTTTAAAAGCTATCGCGAAGTTATTACTAGTCTTCCAAACATTTCCCCATCGATTGGCTTATATTTCACATTTGGCTCGTCTGGGCTACCGTCCCACCACAAGTGTAGGTAATGACGACCGAAGTGACGACGGATATACGTTTAAGTACACCAAGACGACATTACCACTTCGGATGGCGGTTCACGAAGTGTACATAAATGATTTTGCCAAGAAAATGCCCAAGGACCCTTTTTGGGCAAGTCTGGCATCTTCTTTCCTCAGCCCCGAAGAGTCGCCCTGTCGGATGTTCCTACTCCAAGTTCTCTTCTTCCAGGTACTCGCTTTGATGGAACTCCTGATAATATCCCTCGGTGAACTCTTTAACGATATCCCCAATGGGCATGACCGGAAGCGGGGGATGCGGCCCAGGATGAGTCTTTCTATGGCAGATGAGTCCAGGTTTCTGCGTGAAGGCCTTGCCGCAGATGTCGCAGACGAAAGGTCGTTTCCCCGTGTGGATTAGCAAATGTTGCCTCAGTTGCGATCTTCTGGCAAAGGGTTTGTTGCATATCAGACACGGGTGCGGCTTGCACCCCGAATGAACGGCCATGTGCCTCTTGAAGGAGTCCTTCTTCCCGAAAGTCTTGCCACACTCCGCACAGACGATTTTCTCCCGCTGCTCGTGCTGCGTGAGCATGTGCTGGTCCAGATTCTCCTGAGTGACCATCCTTCGCTTGCAGATGTTGCACTCGTACTTGGGCTTGTAGTGCGCCCACTTCTGATGGACGTAAAGAGACCCCGTGTTCTGGCAGAGCTTCCCACACACGTCGCAGTTGATCGGCTTTTCTCTGTGGTGGAAGCGCACGTGGTTCGTGAGGTCGCCCTTGACTTTGAACTTCTTCGGGCAGAAGGTGCACTGGTGCTCGTACTTGTTGGTGTGCTTGCGAATGAAGTGGGACTGCAGGGAGTGCTTCGATCTGCAGACGAAACCGCAAGCGGCACAAGGGAAGACCATGGAGTTGGACCGCTTGCGGGACCAGGTCTCGTGCTTCCGCTCGAGATGCTCGGCGAACAGGGACTTCTTCAGGGTCCTGTAGTCGCACACCGCGCATATGTAGGCACCCTCCTCCTTGATGCACACCTTCTTCTTGTGCGTCCAAGCCACGTGCTTCCGGAAGGCGATGACGGAGCCGAAGATCTCGGAGCAGGCCTTGCACTTCAGGGCGCAGGCACGGTCGGGAAGGATGAACTTAGACGGGTCCAGCTTCTCCTCGTCTTCGGGGACCTGGACACTCTGCCCGCCGTAGTCCGAATCTCCGATCTGCTGGTCTTGATCAGTCGGTTGATCTTCCCGACTGTCGGACTCCGCCACGTTTTCGGACAGCTTCTCTATCGTCACCACGCCATTCTGAACCTTGACCTCGTACAAGTCTCCTATGGTGGCTTTCCCCTCGTCGTCTTGGCTCGTCCCGTTCAGGATAATCGGCTTCACGTCGAGTTCCTCGTTACCTTCACCTGGGTACTCGCTGTACTGGTTCTCGAATTCGTAGAACTTCTCGTCCGCGGAGTCCAGGTCGGCGACTTCGTCCTCCTCGGGCCGTTCCAGTTTCGTTACCTGGCTTCCTTGCTCCTCCAGATCCTGCAGCTCCTCTTCTGCCAGAGGTGTGTCTCCTTCGGGGACGAAGGCGTAATACGGCTTACCGTCGAACTCTAAAATCTGCCATTTTCTCATCACGACGGATTCTCGCTCGTAGAGAAATAATCCGCGAGACTCTTCGTCGTCGTTTGTTGCAGACCTGAAACATTAGCGGAGGCCAGGGTCATTCGGGGTCGAGATACGTGGATCTCGGATCCAGGAAATAAATTGACATTCGTCTAGAAACTACTGAGATAGTTATGCAAATTAACCGAACGAACGGGGGCGATCGAGGCACGGTGCAACTCTACACTGTTATTGATGATACTCTAATTTTATAACATTTTCCTTGGATGTCCCACTGAGACATGGTATATTAATCTCATAACATACTTTCAAATAGCATTTCTAACATATGTTATAAATTTACTATATCTTGCTATCTCTTGTAATAAATTCATAACGCATATGTTGCGCCACGTCAATGTCCACGGAATTACAACGGATTGTTATAAAATTATAAATTTATCATAAACGTTTACTGACTCACGGTTAATACCTCAAATTGATCATTTTACTACTTCATTTAATAAGTGTCTTTTGTTTTTTTTTTCATCAATATTTTTAACAGTGTAAAGATGATGTCGGACGGTAGGGGCGATTTTGCGAATATCCTAAGAAGTTCGTAAGAAGAAAAGGAAACAGCGTTCCTCCTTCGTTTCTTCCATCCAAAGGACCGGAATCCTATAACATAAAGAAGGGGTGTCCTTAACTTTTGATTGCATAGTTTCCTTTCATCGGCAGATTCGTTAGGGAGGAAGAAGTGAAGAAACAGCTGGGAAGACCAGAAGAAATGAATCTTCCATTCGACGCTCGCCAAAATCGGGAGACCGTTAAAGAGTAACAATTTATTATGTTTCTTTTAAATCGTGTCCTTACACTAGCACCTTTGCTCAATGTACAAAAAAAGGAAACTCGTTTAAAGTTACCGCAATTGACTGTAGATCTCGCGATCCGAATAAGAATTAACGACTTTAGATTCGGAAGACACGCCTCCTCGATTAAGGGTATATTCTCATGTAAAATCTTCAAATTATCCATCTTTTCCTTCTTTTTACATATTTCAATAACATTACATTATTATATTTCAATGACATTACGTCAACAGATACAATTTTTGTTTTGTTTTTTATTTAATTTGCTTGAAGAAAAATAATCACTATTTTTCGGCATTTTTCGTTTAAACATGGACCAATCATCGAATTTTCAGGTCTCTCTTCTCAAAATAGTCCACCGGGTAAACATTTTAACAAAAACTTTAGATTTTTGATTTCTGATAAGCCCATTTTCAAATTGTATGTTCAACATACTCAAGGCTACCTAAATAAAAAACATAGTAAAATTTCTACTTATTACTTTCAAACGCGTATCAATAAACGTCAAAAAGACTTTTCACCCTATGTTATTGTTTTCTCTGAAAATACCTGTAAACAAACAATTTCGAAAAATAAATGGTAAACAAACGCTTTTTTCTACCATTTCTTTTTTACATGAGAATATTCCCTCAATCCTTAAACGGGAATCAGGTAATTTTGACCAAATCATGTCATCACACCATAAATCTGTATTTTGCATATGCAATCCGGTTAAAACGCTTTGCCATATTTTCTGAAAGAAAGAAAGAAAGAAAAAAAAAACGAAAGAAAGACGTAAATCCGGGTCTTGAAGAGAGGCATTTATATTTTGTTTGTACATTCGTGGTATGACGTTGGATCAAAATGACCCAATTCATATTTAAGGATTAAATCGACAAAAGCAAGGAACGCAAAGCTCTCCGGGGAAGAATAAGAAAAGCTCGGAGAAAAACGTAAAACAGGAGCAGCTTCTCGACGCAGGGGGTCTACTTCTTCATGAAGTCCTTCAGGATATGGTCGATGTGGATCACGGGAAGAGGAGGAAGCGTCCCCGAGTGAATCTTCCTGTGGCAGATGAGTCCGGCCTTTTGGGCGAAGGATTTGCCACACACGTCGCATGTGTAGATGCGTTCTCCAGTGTGGAGAAGAAGATGCTGACTTAGGCTGCTATGGCGGGCAAAAGCTCTATGGCAAACCGTACAGCTGTACGGCTTGTCCCCTGTGTGGATCCTCATGTGTTTCCGCAGCTCGTAGTTCTCGAAGAAGGTCTTTCCACACTCCTCGCAAATGGATTTCTCCTTCTTCTCGTGTTGCGTTAGCACGTGCTGGTCGAGGTTCTCCTGCGTAACGAGTCTCCTCTTGCAGACTGGACATTCGTACTTGGCCTTGTAATGAGCGTGTTTCTGGTGTGTGTACAGCGAGTGGCTGTTCCTGCAGGACTTCCCGCAAACGTCGCATATCACCGGCATCTCTAGATGGTTCAGTCTAGTATGGGTAGTGAGGTCTCCTTTGATCTTGAACTCTTTACCGCACAGTTCGCAGGAGTACTCGAAGTGTTGGGTGTGCTTCCGCACGAAGTGGGACCTCAGGGTCTCCTTCCGGGTGCAGACGAGGCCGCAGACTATGCAAGGGTATTCCCTTTTCCCCGAGGAAGAGTCCCGGGTCGGCTTTTCGTGCTTCTCGGCCAGGTGAGCTATCATCGTGGACCTTTTGTTGCACTTGAAGCTGCAGCTTATGCACGTAAGTCCCTCGAAATTCGAAGACGAGGCAACCTGCGCCGCCCTGGTCTTTCGGGGCTCGAAGCTCGGAGGGTGCTCTTGGTTCCTTGAACTCTTCTTTGGCGAGTCGGAAGTCGAGGAAGCTTCTTCGATTTCCGGTCCCAGGTTGGGGTTGCTCTTCGGATCCGCCTCCTCGACCTTGCCTTTCTTCTGGGATTGGTTCTTCCGCCGCTTTAGAGGGCTTTTCTTCTTTCCCTTTCTACCGTTCATCGTCGTCCTAAAACAGAACGAAGAGACTGGTTTATTAGTGTTCTAGGGTATTTTTCTCGCTTCACTTGTTTTACTTACATATATGCTAAATTCCGATCGCGCGAAGCGTTTCTAGATCACCTTAGGATACATTAAAAATTTAAGTTTCCCACGCTAATTGCTAGATTCTAAACGATAGTGTGAAAGTAGTAGTAGTAGTAGTAAGTAGTAGCAAGTAGTAAGTAGTAAGTAGTAGTAAGTAGTAGCGAAAAATAATAATTTTTAATGATAGATTAAAATTACACATAAACACGATAAAGAATTTGTATTAACATACATTATTGCTAATTCAAATATATAAGTGTTTAGCTAACTGTTCTATTCATGACTTACACTTTTAAGACCATTTTACGCAGTTATTTAAAAAACAAAAAAACATCTTTTAGATAAAGCTTTCTCATTGTTTCGCGCAGAATCTGAAACTGCAACGAAAAACGCCATGTACTATTTGAAAAATTCGACTCCAAGTGTAGAGCATACACTGTCGATCTACATATTAGAATATTAGAATATTGGTGCCATCTTGCGAATCGTGATTTCTTGAAATATGTGTCTTCAATCTTGATAAAGCAGAGCAGAAATGCATTTTTTTTCTCTTTGATTTTACTATTTTGCATGAATTTTGTTGCTTAACGAGGCGAAGCATTTCTTTGGTGTCTTCATATTCCTTTTCGTGTTCTTCTTCATCGTCTTCAGAAGACTCGGTATAGCGTATTAACTTTCCTCGGTTACTAGTTCGATTTTCTCTTAACAACGTTTCATGTTTCTTCTTGATTTTCTTTTAAAGTTTCTTCGGAAAGATCTTCGGGATTGCTTCGCAATTCCGCAAGAAAGGCGTTATTTGATGGGAGGAAAGCATAAAAGGTACGATTCTTAATGGCAATAATGTGCCACGCTTGCGTCGTTATTATTTCCTTCTTCGAATTGAACTTGTCACTTGGTATGGGTGAAAATCTTTTCAGTGAGTTTTCCTGCAGTTTTCTGAAACATACAATATAATAATTATGTACTGGAGTTCGAAAATTGTCGCACTTAGAAGGATCAATCACAGCTACTTACTTGGATGCGTTTTGGAGAACGGGAAATAAAAATGATATCTCTTTATTTCTCATTTGGTACAAAGAATACTTTCATTGTTATCGCGCATGTAGAAGAGTTACAAGATTATTAAAATGGAAATTTCAATTGTTGGTGCGTGAGAAGAAATTTTATTCCAGTTTTGAGTAAAGCCTTTAGCTGCAAGAAGAAATTCAAAGCCGGAAGAAGCGAGTCTCTGAGCCAAAATAAAATTGCGAATGTGATTAAATCATGATCGTGATATAAATTAAAAAAGAAAATATATCATAAATCATTACATGAATATAGGCTTCGGAATAATGGCCTTCATGAATCTTTCTTTTCCTCTATTCGAGCTTACAATTAGGTCTAAGGTCATGGCAGATTTTTTAGTTCATCTATACACACAGTTGTAGGAATAAATTGCATTTCCTTATTTCGAAGCTCGATATTCCAAAAGATGCGTTAAAACATTCCGATTTGTCGTAAATTTTAAGCACATTTCATTTTTATGCATCTGCATTTTGTTCTTGAGTGTTTTCGAAAGGTATCGTTTGTTCCTTTCGTTTAGGAAACAAAGCTTGAAGACTTACACATGAATATAAATGTCGAAGATGAATCTACCACCGGCTGAAGCTCCTGAAAAATAAAAATTTGGATTAGTCAAAAAGTTATAAAAATTTTGCATTAATAACCTTGGATACGAAGACGCCATAAGAACGAAGAATCGTCATTCTTCTTTGGATGAAGAATCATCCAAAGCATACGAGCGAGTTTTCTTTTTGGCTCATTTCGTTGAGTAGAATCACTAGAAATATTTAACATGTTCAATTATATACAAGAAGACGTTTTTATTTCGAGTGTTCGTAACAAACGAGATCGTTCGGCAGTCGAATTGCACACGGTGTACTCCTATTATGTCACTCATTACATGAATGATTTTTACATTATCAAAGTAAATCCTTTTCGAGGCTTTCTTATCGTTACACAACAAGTACGGGCGGACTTACAATACATCGTACTCGAAGTTTGAAGTTATGCGAAGCTTCTTTCTCCTCGAGAAGTATTTCAAGATGTAATTACACTGAGAAAAAAAAGTCATTGAACCAAAGAAATAATTCATTCAATAGTACCAAAGACATGTATTATTAATTGAAAGAATTATTGACTCAAATGAACTCGAATAAATTGGATGTAACATTTCTTTGGAATTCTGACAATTCATTTGAGTTAAATAATTATTCTTTGAATTAACTGAATATTTCTTTGATACTCTTTGGTTCAATGAATATTCTTCTCAGTGTATTAACTGCCTAGGTGAAGATCTACTTCAGAGCTCGTCTAGGAAAAGTTTCGCACAATTCTATTTTTTACATGAAGTAAGTGCGGATTTTTATTACATTGTTGACTAAACAACATTTTGAACGGAGGAAAATGAAACTCAGGTTGAAAGCCTAAGGCTTGCAATTATACTTCACTTTAAGTGTTAAAAGACGTATTTTAACTATTTACATTGTTAAATTAATTTCTTTACACTTGGATGAGTTAGCCTTAGAAAATCTTTCCGTTATTAATTAACCAAATTTTTAATATAGTCACAATTAAAATGTATAATAGATCCTAAGAGTTACTATATTTAAATTAGTATTGTTGTTTAATAGAGAAAGATTTTTTTTAACTTAACCAAGTGTAAATGAATTAATTCAACAATCCGTATTTTACATTATAGACAAGACGTATTTTAACGCTAATAGTGAGATATAAGTATGGATCTAAATGTTTAGATTTCTGAATGAAGTCATCTTTCCGAGTTCATCTAAACGTGTGCTTTCAGAATGTGTATATGAAACATATCGTGTACGCGTTATCATAAACAAATAGACTTATGATCACAAACACCGAACTATTTAAGTATTCTTAACTTTTTCTTGGGCGCCAAAGTGAAGGTATCAAGTGTTATAAATCTACACCCTTTAATGGCTAGACCAATTAGTATATTATCTAACAATTTCGCTACCGTGGATATCTCCATTTGCTGTCAATTGTTCACTAATCGCATAAACATTATCACTTCCAACGAAACAAATCCCGGTCAGACTTACGTTATGACGATTTTCAAAGCTCACCGTAGAGCAAAGGTTTGTCACTTACGAGGTATTTTTTAACTTCTCTCGTTACCGATGCTTCGATAACTCGTTATTACGGCATGAGTATTGTTTATCGGTACTAATTGTTCATAACGTCATTCAAGATATGATCGATGAGCACTCTGGGCAGAGGGGGATGCGATCCAGGATGGGATTTCCGGTGGCTGATAAGCCCCGGTTTCTGCGTGAAGGCTTTTCCGCAGATGTCGCAAACATAGGGTCTGATACCAGTGTGGATCAAGAAATGTTGCTTCAAGGCAGTCCTGCGAGCGAAGGATTTACTGCAGACAGTACAACTATAAGGCCTGTCGCCCGTGTGGATCCTCATGTGGACCTTGAGTCTACTGTTCCTGGAGAATGTTTTTCCACATTCTTCGCAGACCACATTTTCACGCTTTTCGTGTTGCCGCAGTAGGTGTTCATCGAGGTTCTCCTGGCTGACCATTCTGCGTTTGCAGATATTGCACTCGAACTTGGCCTTGTAGTGGGCGAACTTCTGATGGACATAGAGACTGTTGCTGTTCAGACAGGTTTTACCGCACACGTCGCAAATGACAGGCTGCTCCTTGTGTGTGAACCGTATGTGGTTGGTCAAGTCGCCTTTGATCTTGTACTTCTTGCCGCAGGTCTCGCAGGAGAACTTGAAGTCGTCCGTGTGTTTGCGCGTTACGTGCACCTTCAGCTCGTACTTGTTCTTGTTCTTGTAATCGCACTGGCTGCAGAAGAAAAGCTCCAGAGCGTCGCCCGTCGCCTTCGATTTCAAGTCCTTGTGCTTCCTCTTAATGTGCGAAAAGAGGGAACTTTTCTTGTTGGTCTTAAAATCGCACTCGTTGCAGGCATAAAACTCGGTGGCGTTCTCCACTTTGTGGCGCCTCTTGTGGGAGTAGAGAGTGCTCTTCTTGGAGCACTCGAAGTCGCAAAGGTCGCACCTACAACGCTCCGGCATTTCGTGCTTCCTGGCCACGTGAGAAGCGAGCGTCGTTCGCTTCTTGCAGGTGAAGTCGCACCTGGTGCACCTGAAATCGACGCTATCTGCGTCCTTATTATCCGCGTTATCAGGCCCGAGTTGTGGCTGCAGGTTGTCCTTTTTTCTCCCCTTGAAGTTGCCCTTCTCGCAGCGGAACTCCTTCTTTGGGAAGTCCTCTTCAGGTACTGTGTGGTTCCGGTTAATGTGGCAGGCCAGGGTGCTGTTTCTCTTGCATTCGAAACTGCAGGATCCGCAGGATAATTTCCCATCGGTTTGCACTTCCTGGTGAGTGATCCACACGTGAGAAGCGAGACTGTCCTTTTCGTAGCATTTGAAGTCGCACCTCCTACACTTGAACTCCTCGGCCTCGGCCACGACTGCCTTTGTCTCTAGTTTCTTCTGCATTTGCAACGAGGCAACTTCGGTGCAGTTGTGGCCCTCCTTTTTAGGTCTTTCGCGATGCCTCCTCCATTGGTGGATCCGCAATTTACCTTCCTTTCTGCACCTGAAGTCGCAAAGGTTGCTGCGGAGTCGCAAGGACTTGGAGGACTTCGGAGGTCGGGTTTTCGCTGATAACCTCTTCACCACCGACCTGTGGGAGAGTTTGTGCCTTTCGAGCATGTTCTCTGCTGGAAACTTCATCTTACACCTGTCGCAAGGGAAGCAGTCGGTCCCGACTTCACACAGGTGGGCGATCGAGCCAAGGTAGCGATTCTCTTCAGGTTGTGTCCCACTTCTGCAGCTCCGATGACCTCCTACGTCGTCCCCGACCTCGACTTTGATGTTGGGAGGGTCGACCTCGTTTGATAAGGTCTTCGGTGAATTTGATGTAGCTGGTATCAATGTATAACGAGGCTTCCCTTCAGGGTCCAAGAGTTGCCAAAGTTGCATCGGTTGAGAGTCCTTTCCCACGATGAATCTGCCGGACGCGTCTGACTTCAACACTCGGCTAAAACAAAAAATGCCAAGACACATATGTTAGTACGATGATTTTCAGTCATTTCGATACCCCGAAGACTACTTACTCCTGGCGCTAAACAAGGGGCCATCCTTTTGTTCAGTTTTTACATCGAAGACAATAATTTTCCTACTATAGAAATAGTGAAATCAGCGCAGCAATCATTTTCCTATGAACATATATTTTGCTATTTTGAGGGGAAAATGTTTGGTGCTCTTGTGGTTGAGATTGTTGTTCTAATGCACGGTTTATTACTGTTTTCTTAGCAACTGAAAGTATCATGCAAATTGTGTTATCGATAACGTGATATTACGCGAAGGGAAACATTCCTGCTGAATTTGGAACTTATTTATAAGCGATAAGCTGGCACACATTCTGAAATAGATTGGGATTAATTATGAATCGATAAGATTCAAACTAAAATAATGAAATAAGATGGGTAAATTGATCTGTCAACCAAAGCGGATATAATTATGTATAAATATGAAAAGAAATAATTCAACGAAGAGCTGTAACAAGAAATTAAAGAGTCGATAGTTCGGTACACATTTCTGAAGAGAATTTATTCCTATTATACAAAATTCGATCGACATTTCCAGTTGTATGAAATGATTCCGCGAGTACAGAATATACATCTGTCGATATAAAAATGTCCATACTTTGTAGAATCTCAACTCGGTGGGGACACGAAGCGAAATGAAATTTAAATTGCCTAGATATAATCGTTTTTCCATCTTCGTTGTGTGTCACTGTTACCTCGTTATGAAGTGGCACTAAAAAGCTGTCCTTAATACTGTTTGGAGAGTGCGAATCGGAACCACAGATATTCTCACTTGCTTTACAGTCTTGTCATCTCCGAAAATCGGAAAAGTACGTAAAAATGCGCCCTAATATTGTCCATCGACGTTGAAAGTGACAGAAGAAACACGGGAATACGTTAAAACGCGTCTACGTTGCGCATCGAGGAGCCGCCATATTGAAAAGTTGTCAGCTAAGCGATTTTGGGGACTTTCAAGACAATAATCTTCTGATTGGTTTACGTGATGTGTCCAACCAATCATATTTTAAAGCCAAAACGTACATAAATATCCACCTTTACATTGTTTATTGGTGTTGATGACAAAAGACTCAAGATGATTGCATAGCATCCGTGATGCGCTTCTTCGGACAATCAGATCCGCCATATTGAAATGCCGACAACTTCGGATTCGATTGTTTTCGACAGAATATTCCTAATATTAACTGCTTGGAAACGCGTCCATCCAATTACAGTCAGTAAGAATAAATCAAATGTTGAGCCTCTTTGCTTGTACATACTTTTGTGAGTGTGTAATTACTTGGTGTAAACTGGATAACACGCTGTATGAAACTTTAACCCCTTGCCTTGCGAATTCCCTGACGGATGGCGTATTTTACTTTACACTAGTTTCTTTTTCATTATAGGAGGAGGAATTGAGAATAATAATTCAGGATATCTCCCTAAGAATGACTAAGAATGATAAACTTATTCGGTCCTGGTCAATTAGATTTAAAATGTATGCAAATTGATCACATCGGAGTATTTTTGAACCAGCAAAAAATAAATATGCAGAAGTACAATTCATATCTCTAGATGATTTTCTAAGAATATTTAGTCGGCGGAAGAAAAAATTATCGCGTTTACGAAAATAAATTAAAACGGATAAAAAAAATATACACGTTTAAATATATTAGAATGATTAGCTCAGAACTTTGGGAAAGGTATAGGAAATACTTCATTAATGTTTTTCCGAAGAATTTAAGATAAAAAGTTGTTTAATATTTTTAAACGGCGGACTTATAGTGGTTGGAAATTTCTGATTATAATTTTATGATGTACATGATCCCAGGAGAAATTTAGCCTGAATGAAAAGGTCAAGGTGGTTGTATAAACAAGGTACATTTTTCTTTAAAAAAAATATTGACAGTTAATGAACAAAATGCAACGAAAAAGTGTTTCCTAATGGCCTTTCCTTTACTTGAATCTGAATTCCATTCGCATAGGAAAAGCTGTGCCATCAGTTCTTAATTTCTAAAACCACCTTTACCTTTCCATATACATCGTGAAAAAAAGTTAGACACTTCCAGTCTCCAAAAGTCCGTCAGTTTTAAACATTTAAAACATTTTTCATCTCGTATTCTCTGCAGAACGTCAAACAAAACGGCCTCGTAAGAAAGCATTCCCTGTACCTTTTCATTCTCTTTGAAACACCCTCTGAAATATGTTTTGCAACCTACTGACCCTGTTAAGAGAAAATGTATGCCGAGGTGGTTGGGAAACTCGTACAGTACACTTAATACAAACTCATACAGCGTTGTTACACCACATTCTAATGAGAAATTGGTTCCGAATGGTTTTTGTTCTTCCCCAGAGGAACTGGGGGCGAAGACAAGTGAGCATCGGGATGTTTCCTTCGATGTTCGATCATGTAGTACCTCCTCTTGAAGGCCTGTCCGCACAAATCGCAAATATGCGGCCGTTCCGCAGAGTGCGTGAGTAGATGCGTGTTCCTCATATGCGAAGTCCTGAAATTCTTCTCGCAAATGTGACAAGGGTACGGCTTAACGCCAGTGTGGGTCGTCGTGTGGGTAGCCAAATACCTCTTCGAGGCAAATATTTTCCCGCAATCTTTGCAACTGTAGGTCTGATTATGTTGCAGCATGTGGCTGTCCAGGTTCTCTTGGGTGAGGAGCCTTTTGTTGCACACCGTGCACTGGAACTTGTACTCGTTAAGGTGGGCTACTTTCCGGTGCTTGTACAGAGAATAATTGCTCGAGTAGAATCTACCGCAAATGTCGCACATATGCTGAGCATTGCTGTGGGTCCCGATGTGGAACTTTAGGTCCCACTCCATTTTGAACCTCTTCCCACAGTGCTCGCAAGAGAATTTGTAGTCGTCGGTGTGCTTCCGGATGTAGTGGGACTTCAAGTTGTTCTTCGTCTTGGTCCTGTAATCGCACTTGTCGCAGCAGTGAAGAAGGCTGGAGTCCACGTCCTCGTGGACGAGCTTGTGAGCCTTCAAGTCGCACTTGTACTTGAAAGCCTTCGAGCAGGTCGCGCACTTGAAGGGCCTGTGGAAGCTGTGCTTGCTCGTGATGTGTCGCAAGATCTTGCTCTTCTGTTCGAAGCTCATCTGGCAGATGTCGCATGTGTAGTTCCCGTCGTTTAGTTTCTTATAAAGGACCTGCTTTTTCTGAGAGTCCTCGGTGTCTTCACTGGGGGACTCTTCAGGGTCCAGCTTGGTGCAGATCTCCTCTCTCGTCCTCGACGGCGACTTCTTCAGCCTCTTCGGCAGCTGTCTTCTTCGGGGTTGGAGTTTCTCAGAATTGGGCACTTTCTTCCTATCAAATCGTTTAATTTCCTTCCGATGGTCCTTTGGACTTTGCGTCTTATCGGCAGACTTTCGTGACGTGATATCCGGGGAGGGCTCCCCAGATAGTCGAGGATTGTCCGCTTCTACTTCGCGCTCTTTTCCTGACTCTTCGGCTTTTATTTCGGGCCTCTTTCTCCGGCATTTGTTCATTTCTTCTCTTCGCTTTCTAACTGAACGTGGTCCCAGGATTGGCCTATTGGTTCGCAGGATTTTACACTCGGCTTTGACACTTGTGACGGCCAAGGAATCGTTCTCCGTTAGAGAGTCGCATGATTTCCTAAAACACGAATAAAGTATGTCATCAAGGGTCGTAAGGAGATTCACTTCTGTGAAGGTAATTATTCACCTAACGCCATATATGCCCGGGGGTCATTTAGTTCACACCGAATGCATGCAAATATATTGGGATACATTTTCGCCTGTGAAATACATATTTTATTCGGTATAATTATCTCTTTCAAGCGGACGGTACTCTCTTATAAAATATCTTTAGTAATTGTACAAATTATCTGGCTTCGTTCACGTGTACTGTTAACAATTACACCGCTTAGAAGGAAATGCACTTTTTTGTTTCACAAAACCTCTGCATCTAAAATAAACTTCATTTTTTTAATTCAATGGATGGGAAATAATGCTATCAGTCGTCACTTGGGAATCGGTAAAAGACCCTTAGAAAAAAAAAAGTATTTTTTTTTTCAATTCTGGTTTATCCTTCGCCTTAAATGTTTATGTGCATGTTTATGTGCATGCACCAAGGGATGCTTTTAAAAAGATTTTTCACAATTACAGTCGTGCTCAATTTTCTGTTCGTCCATACGTTATTTAATATGCCCTTTTTCAAAGTTATTTTGCCATTTCAAAGATCATCGTGACTTCTTACGATGAGATGCTTCTTCTACAAAATTGGTGACTTTGGTTAGCAAAATAAAAAGTGTGAACCTTCTCCATCTTTTCATTGCAATCCGAGGACGTGCAGCTGAATTCTCTTCGGTAGCTAAGACCCTGAAAAAGATATTAACAGATGAATAACAAATTAGTTAAATATTTATGCTTTCAATTTCCGGTAGTGTATCTGGAACCGATAAATTTATTCGACATTTTCAATTGATTATCTTGACGTTCGAAATTATTTTCCACGTTTTTTTTCCTTTTTGAACAGTAAGGAATCCCAAGCGGGAGAAGAAATTCCGAAAATGGCTAATCGTTCGTCCTATTTTATTTTACAATTACAACTTCCGAGTCATACATGCAGTTGCATGTAAACACTTTGAAAAACCGTGCCTATCTACTGTAGCAATGCTAGAAGATCGTATCATTGTTCAATGAAGAATACGTCCATGACAATGATTCGTTTGAAAAAGACTTTACTTTTGCCGACGTAAGAAAGCAGAAGTTGTGTTGCATATGCAATTGCAATTGCAGACGCTATTAAAAATTCGTGCCTTTTGAATGTAGCGACGATAGGAGGCCGTGTCACTTTTCAAGGTATTTAAGTACACTCATGATAATGATTAATTTAAAGAGAAGACATTTACACTTACACGGAATGAAATGCAGGATTACAAAATACCATTTAACGAGCTAAACTGAATTAAAAAAAAAGAGTATTTTTAACTTTCACGGTCAAATTTCATTGACGCGTTTAACGACTGGTACGTCTTGAGTTTTAAGTCATTTCTTTAAAGGGTCCCTTCCGTCGAAATGCTCGAAAAATAATTAATTTGCATAAATCAGTAAAAAATATAGAGTATAAAACTGTCTCGGTAATACATGTCTGAATGATAAAATATATAATCCAATTTGATATAATATATTTTCGCCCGAAGTACACAACATTCATCACGTCACTATAGAAATTATATTTGTTGACGGGTGTCATCAAAACACATGAATAGATAACTTGAAATAAAAAAAAAATATTTACATAAAATACACGTGAATGGTTATTTCCTTATTTACTTTAATGTAAAAAAAAATAATTTCATGATTTTTAACACACGTTTTGACCCAAAGAACAAATGTTTCTCTGAAACATGTTGTTTAAGCATGCATTAAAAATCCCTAAATTGTTATTGCCATTACAAATATATATGGCGATAACAATTCACATGTATCTTAAGAACACTTTTTTAATTTCAGATAATCCTTTCTTGAGAGTTCCGATAGTACTCGTCAAGAGATCATTCTATAGTGACATACCGAATGTTGTATCTTTCGGGGGAAAATATATGAAATCATGTTAGACTGAATTTTATTCATCTTATAAATATGTATTACTAAAGGACTTAGAGTTTTTATTATCTTACATTTAGTTTCTTTCTTGATTTATGAAAGTTGCTAACTTTTCGAGCGCTTTGACGGAAGGCTCTCTTTAAATCTTGGCCCAAGTAATCGAGCAGTACTTAGGAATACTCTATGCCTAGAATTACAAGTAGTACGGTTCGGTTCCGACAGCCTCATGAGAATTACATCACAGTTCTTTAACCCTTTCATTACGGCAGTTCACTACGCCGGACAATTGGCAGTGAACATGATTCCGTATCGAAAGGGTGCACATTGCACATCGGCAGTCTTCGGTGTTCGAAGTTACATCTTCCACCTGAACAAAGCCTCCTCGACTGCCTTTTGTACGTCCACTTTTCTAAGTGTTAAATAACATATTATTCCATTATTAAATTTCCAAATAAAAGTCCAAGTTAAAAACATTCAAGAGATTAAAAGTTATCCCAATAGCTGGTCTTCTCATCTCATCTCGATGGCCAAACTGTGTTACGCATGTTCGAAATGTACCTTCAGGATGATTAATCCAATACAGCGAAAAGATACTCCGATTATAAGATTAATCGATACAATAAAAAGATACTCTGTCAGATATTGCAGAATTAGTTATGTCGAGTAACGTCGGCGCTCGTTACGAAAAAGGGTTAATGTGCTCAGTTTGTATTCGACTTGATAGTCTCCAGGATATTTTTTAAAGTTACGGGAGGAGGAGGTTCACTGGCATCGGGATGCTTCTTCTTCCAGTGCAGCATCAAAGAAGATCTTTGGGTGAACTTCAGACCACACACGTCGCAAACGTAAGGTCTGACCCCGGCATGAGTGAGAAAATGAACTCTCTGGGTGGCCATGCATGCGAAAGCTTTCCCACAGACCGGACAGAGATGAAGCTTCTCCCCAGTGTGAACTCTTCTATGCTTCGTCAGTCCATACTTCCTGGCGAACTTCATTCCACACTCCTCGCATACGAAGGTTTGCTCGTGCTGTTGAAGATGACTCTCGAGGTTCTTCTGGGTGTGGAGCTTCTTCTTGCATATCCTGCACTCGAAGCTTTTGTTCTTCTCCGTGTGCTTGTAGTTTCTGTGGTAGTAGAGGGAACTCTTGTTGGGATAGGACACTCCGCATATGTCGCAAACTTGGGGACCCGTCTCATGATCAGACATGTGGACCTTGTAATCTGGCTCGACTTTGAACTTCTTACCGCAGAAGTCGCACTTGTACTTGTAGTCGTCGGTATGCTTCCTGGTGAAGTGCTCCTGGAGGTAAGGGTAATGCTTAGTCGTGAAGTCGCAGATTTTACACGTGTGCATGGGCGCCGATTCGCTGTGCTGCTCTTTGATGTGCTTTTTCAGGCCGAAGTTGTACTTGAACCTCTTCTGACATATGGAACATTTGTACGGACGCAAGTCGCTGTGCGTCACCATGTGCTTGTTGAAGAGGCCGCGAAGTTTGAAGCACATGCCGCAGATTGGGCAGCAGTACTCTTCTTTTTGCTTCGCATTCTCCGATTCGTCGGAGTTCTCGTCTGTCTCGTCTAAACAATTGTCCTCGCTAGAAGTAGGGAAACGTTGAGGCGAGACGCGATTTTTTCTCCTCACTCTTTCGTTTCTCCTCGGTACCGTCTCGGACGACTTCGGAACTTCTTCTTCTTCCTCTTCTTCTTCTGCAACTAGTTCCTCGGGGATGACAGGAATGCTTGGAGTATTCTGATGTTTTCGCCTACTTCGGAGGGACTTCTTCGGCACTAAGTCGAACCGTCTTGTCTCCACTTTAAGTACTTCCTCTCGATCGTCATCTACTTCGACTTGGCTCGAAGACGTTAATCTTTTTCTTCGGAGCCTCGTGCTCCTCTTCGCAGTATTCACTTGCAGATTTTCAGACCTCCGGTTATGGTCCTGTGTCCTAGAAATTGAAAACAGCGTTATTGTCGGGAAGAAAAAATGGTATATATTAATATATATATATATTAAATCTCTTGAAAGTAAGCGGTTCTCTTGCGTGTAACGAAAGACCTAATTGGTACTTTCCATTGTTTGAAGTCTCAGAGCATCCAACATCGGTGTTAATACTGAATACATGCTCTTAGATAAGCTGTCTGAAAATAAAAAGGTACATGATTCTCTATGGTAGGATTTCATATTATTTATTTCTTCGCATTCTAAATAGTGTACATATCGGCGTACACATATTTCGGACACTGTGCCCACATTAGAGTTTCGAATTATACTTAATCGTATACAATTTTGTAAAGCATTGTACTCAGCAAACAAACAACGGTACATTAATTTACAAATTATATAAAGTTGTTGTATACACCATACAGCCAACAATATCTTTCTTACCGACAATCTTGTAGGATTTAATCTTTTCATTTTTACCTAATTGCGGTAAGCGGCAATATCACTACATGTCTCCCGGTATATTCCTTTATAACATAATTTCACTTTTCTGGGAAATAAAATAATATTGTAACGGCATAAAATATTTTAATATGCATTCAATTTTGAATATACTTGAAACGTGTTAGTTATACTCATTTCTTAAATCACATTGGATCCAGAGCCGTGATCCACAATTGTTTAGAGTGTCTTTTTAAGATTCTTTCATTAAATCGATTTTTTATCCTTTAATATTTTTTTATGAAATTTCAAATGTAACATATTGACGACATAAGAGATTTTCCTGAAAAAGTTATATGATTTTAGATTACTTCGCAAATGGACGAGTTTCAAAGAAACTTGTGTTTTCGTGCTGGAGGACATTTGGCTTAATAATTCTATTCAAAATGGTCCTATTCATTTTACGATCATTTTTAAATGATCTTAAAATTGAGCTTTTTCTTCAGGAAAACACCTAGACGTCAATACGCTATATAAAAATGTTTCATGAAAATAAGATAAAAATAAAGAGAAAAGTAGTACTTGGGTGAAAGAAAGGAATCTTAAAAAGGACACGTATCTTTTTA